AGGGATGGAGAATTGCTGGCTTTCATTGTATTTGTTACATTTCATTTCCTTAAAATGTTTTGATCTGAAGTACATGGGACAAAATGGTATTATCTAATAAATAAACTGTAGTGAAAGCATCATGTACGAGAATTAAACACATCACCATTAGGACAGTAGTTACTGGAAGGGAGGTGGGGAGGGACGGAGAATTGCTGGCTTTCATTGTATTTGTTACATTTCATTTCCTTAAAATGTTTTGATCTGAAGTACATGGGACAAAATGGTATTATCTTTTAAATCTGAGTGATGGGAAAATAGGTGGCTGTTGCATTATTTCCTGCACTTCACTGAATATTCTTCGTCTTTCATAATTAGAAATCAAGTAATTTGATTTTAAGGAGAAAAGGATTAATAACTAGTTCTCCAATCAAGGACAAAGGACACTAGTTTTCTTGGTTTTGTTTTCATAAGCTACATCATAGAACTGTTCTTAGTAACAGACAATAATTCAGCATTAATCACAGCAAATGTTGTGCCAGTAGCACTGTTTGTTGAGAACCAATTCCTTGGACCGATTTCTTACCTGGGCTGTCGTACAAGGACCCAGGGATAACAGAAAAGCCTGGCTGGCCATTCCAACGCATCCTCTGATCTGAATTTTTTTTACTTTTTCTTCATTTGATATCCACTTTCCAGAAGGAATGTTTACAGCCAGCAGAGCAGCGCTCTGGACTGATCTCGAAGGGTTTTTGTCCAGTGGGAGAGGCCTGGGTGTGGCGCATTCACGTGGGGTAGCATCTAGGCCGGGCCTGGGAGCCAAGACCGCAGTGGGGCAGGATGGGCAAGGTTGCTACCCTTGACCCTCAATTGACTGTACTGTAAGCACATTTTCTGTATACACCTTCTGGGATTTTTGCTTTTTTCTCCCCAAAATAACACATTTATTAAAAGACAATTTTCAGAAGAAAGTAAAACCATGACTCTTAAACAAATATAAAAACAAACACATGTTAAGGATTTTATTTTATTCAGATGATAGAAGGAAGCGAGGCAGATGTTCTCACTGGCTTGAAGGAAAAGTCAGAAAAGCATAAATTTATATGCGGTGAAGAAATGTTGAGATAAATTGCAAATGGAGGCAAAACGTCTTTCCACAGTAGGGAAAGCAGTTGATTAATTCTGTACAGAAAAAAGACGGAATTTACAAATATAGATCTATCATTTACCCATGACTTACAAAGAGTTGCAAAATGGCTCAAATACAAAGAACAGGGCCAGAATCAGCCCAGAGGGTATGCTATAGACACAGATACTTTTCCACTGAAGCACAAAACCTCTCCTACACAGGAGAGGATCCTTCACTGTGAAGAAGAAGGCTTCAGCCTTCTCCTGCATGGGGCAGGACTGTGTGTCTGGCATCCATGGTGGGGTCCTCAAGACACGTGTGTCAAAAAAGGCTTTTCTTGCCAGTACAGCAGCTCACGCCTGAAATCCCAGTACATTGGGAGGCCAAGGTGAAAGAATAGTTTGAGGCCAGTTCGAGACCAGCCTGGGGAACATGGCAAGACTCTGCCTCTACAAAAAAATTTAAAAACTAGCTGGGCATGGTGGCATGTACCTGTAGTCCCAGCTGCTTGGAAGGTTGAGGCAGGAGGATTGCATAAGCCTAGGAGTTGGAGGTTGCAATGAGCTATGATCGTACCATTGCACTTTAGCCCAGGCGACCCTGTCTCCAGAAAAAAAACAAAAAACAAAAAACAAAAAAAAGATTTCTGCATCATGGCAAGTGTGTTTGGCCCATCTAGATCAGGTCTGTGGTTTCCACTGGTGAAGCCTCTCTGGAAGTCAGGGTACTCTTCGTGGCTCCAGCAATGGCCAACGCATGCCTCTGCAGAGGACGCCCCGGTGGCCATGTTCTTCGACAATGCCCACACTAGCTAGCAAAACAAATGCACAATTCCCTCATAAAAATTCATGCACGATAGTGCCTATGTATCATGGATCACCAGCAGGCCTTCTCCCAACAGAGTGACTCTGTGGCCTCTCCAGCCCTGCCTCCCATAGGACAGTCCCTCCGCAAAATTACAAGTCAAAACCTGTGGGGATCGCTGTGGAGCATGGGATCTGCAAATTCCAAGGGTATGCCCCTCTCCTGGGCACACCTTCCTGAGGCATTCCTTTACCCTGTATAAAAGTGCACTTCTTGACTTCTTTTTTGA